GTGCATGTAATGAAGTGCGATGAAAAGCATTAACGTGATGCGAAAGCCGCTAACTGTTTATAGCATGGTTTTTTTCTTTCAAAACCTATTGTTGGAGTCCTACCAGAATTCATGATGTCATTCAAATCCAAGAACACAGTGAGCATAGCTTTTTACGAGTATATTCGTAAACTTATCTTTCGTCATCTGCTGCAATATGTTTTAGTTCAGCATCTTCGTTGATTACATTTATGTGCCTGTAGTTTCGTTCAAAATTCTACAATTTAGAAAAAAAATTTACCGAAGACGTTCGAAAAAATTTCATGACATGATCCCATCGATATTCCAGCATTTTCAGCGAATTCTCTCATTGAGACTCGGAAATCGTTCATAACCATTTAACTTTTCCGATATTTTCGGGCGATGTTATTGGTCCGCCCGTCCCGTCTAGGACCTCCTCCATCTTCAACGTGTTCTCGGCCATCTTGGAAACGCTCATATATACTTTTGCTTTACTCATAGCAGTCCCACGATTGGTCACTGTTTTGGCAATTTACACACTTGGTTTCAATTTATTCCATTTTCTATGAGACACGTTTTTTCATCATTTTTTAACAAACGAAAATCGCCGAACCCATAAAAACTCGTCTAATAAAACATAGTATAGCGAAAAATGTTTGGCAACCGGACTCTACAAGTTAGCCAATTTTCAACTTTTCGGTATTTTTGGAATTGATTCGCAGAATTGGATTGTCAAGGCAGGATATAGACCAAATAAAAATTCTTAAGCCTAATTCACATAAAACCAGCTTCTCCTTGCATAACAAATGAAACTCTGACTACTGAGCGGGGCAATCCGAGGGTAAGCCACAATGAAAGCTTAAAAATTTCTCGGTTTTTATTTATTTTTTATATTATTTTACATTATAATATGAAAAATATAAATATAAAAAATTGAGGAAGCGAAGAAATATAAATGTTCCGCAACATCTTTTGGTTTCACCTTTTTCTTGCCATATGCTGAGCGAGTACTCATTAAACTCAAATGCATTCCTGATGTCATTAGCTATTTCGATGGCCTTATTTTATAGTTCAAGCCCGTGTTATTGATTTGGGATAGTTTCGTATTCGCTGAGAAAAGGAGATAATTGAATAGTAGTACTTTTCCAAAAAACTTGGAAAGGGTAGGGAACAAGCGAAGTAGCCGATATAATAACATCAGCGTTGGGTCGGGTTCGTCAAGTCCGTAACTAGGATGCTTTTTGCTATATCATTTAGCTAAGGCGGGGGCATAGCGCTCAAAACACACTGATACACAGTTAAAATCAAAAAATTATTAATTTCTCATTACTTTTGAATAATTTGCTAAGGTGATTCGATAAGAGTTTCGCCTTAGTCTTCAGAATCGGGTCGTTGTCTGAATGGTCACTCAATTTATAGTGGTGGCTTAAAGCTATTTAGGTCTTCCAGAGTCATTTTTTTGAGAAGAATTCGGAGTTTTAATTGTAATAAATTTTATTGTGTGGGGCAGTAATATCCAAGTTGCTAGCACTGGGCACTAACATCTGGAAGGCCAGGGTTCTATTGCTGGTCCGACCGACATCCAAATTAATTTTACTATTAATTTTTCTAATTGCCGTCGCCCCTCGGGTATGAAAGTCAACATGAAATAAAACGTCCTTATAAAAATGCATCGGACTGTTGGTAAGAAACGGTAATTATATAAATATACATATGCATGAGTTCCTTCTCCATTTTGTGGCTTAGAGTTAGATCAGGGAACGAAATGCAAAGAGTACGAGATTTAAGCCACTGGTGGAAATATCCACTTCGCTAATACTACGAAGAAGAATAATAAAGAATAAACTGGGGAGGATGCATCGAAAAGCCAGTAAGAAGTAATCATTATTTAAGCGCGTAAAGCTTGTTGTTTTGGAGGAAAAATATTGTATTTTGACCACTCGCAATGTATACGCCTTAAGTCATACCTCCGCATATGCATTTATATATATATATATATAAGTACGTACATAAGTGTTTATCTTGATCTTAATTTTAAATGATGAAATATTTTCAGTTTGTTGAATAGAATATATTTTTAATTTGCCTTGTCCATAAAAATGTCGCCCCATTTCCAAGAGCAACCGGTGGGTTTCATAAGAAACATAAACACATTTTTATTGTCACTACGTGAAAACAGAAGCAAGGCGAACTAATGATTTAACTTTTCGGTTTGGTTTGCAATGTGTCAACAAAGCCGTTAAAGCAGTTGGTGCCACCACATCCATATGTATGTATTTATTTGTATATATATGTAAAAGTATTTATACATGCCCTGCAGTGAAAATTTAAATGTCAAAATTTTATTTTAAAACTGGTATTTCATAGATGAAATCATACCAGTTGGCTGTGTGCCAATAAATTGGAAGCAGTTTACTAGTAACTGATTAGAGGATGACGCTGTCGCACATAGCTTGTACGGTTGTTCCTTGAGGAAGGGCGACCACAGTTAGAAAAATTAATTTTCTATAGTTTAGGATGTTTGTCATGTCATGTGCCTGGACTCTAAGCCTACTCTTCAGAATGTCAGCAGTCGGCTATTGCGGCCGCCTGTGATGAATTAGTGAGGGTCAATATTCGAACTAGTAGATTAATACTTCATAACTATTATTTTTTCCAATAGGGTAGATATGTACATATCGTATACGTCCATGCTCATACATTAGTGTACGTACGTAACTTTACAATTATCGTTGCGTTAAGTAACTCCTCAGAGAAGATCGTAATGGCATGTAAAAAATGTTTACGTACTTATGTGTGTATGTACGAATATCTGATTAAAAAGAATTATGAGGTGCTACAAAGCAATTGAAACAACTCGCTTTAATTCTGAACACAATAACAAACACGGGCCACCGACCACACAAATCAAGCTTTTTTCGCTTGCAAGTATATGTAAGGTAATATTGTATTTTAGTGATCACAAGGTAACTCAAATATTGCGAATGTAACCAGGTTTACTTGTATTTTCATGGTACTTTTCTTATGTCTGGCGTTTACTGCTTATTCAAGAAGTCGACTTGAAGGAGTGGCATTTTCTGGTGAATATGATAGAATTACATGCTTAAATATTTTCCTGTTTTTAATACCTACTATTGGGTCCTTTACCAAGAATAAAGCATCGAGAACTATCTAATAAAAACAGTCGCACATCAGTTCCTTTCCTTTCCCATCACCAATTACTGTTAGGATATATGTAAAATGAATATTAATTGCATTTGATAAAATACAAACTCGACATTTAGTGAAGGCAATTAACGAATTGGAAAAATCATGCCGAGTTTTGATATTTTCCTTCATTATTTTATAGGGAAACAACAAGCGCTAAACAGATTATGATATGATTTATAGTATATTTCTGACGATTGATATATAATATTTAGTTTGTTTACACTTGAGCCTAAAAAATAAGAGTTCCGAGCAAAAAGTGAAATTAATTATAATTGGTACAAAGTTAAACAAAAAAAAGACACGAAAAAATATGCTTCTTGAAACGGTTACAACGGATTTGTTGATCGACATTCACTAGAAGTTGAAGTAACATCCGAGATGTGGCAATGAAGTAATTAGACTGATTCCGTACCGTACCGTATATTTCAAAATTATTCTAAAAACTCTGCCTACCTCTTCAAAGCAATACTCTTCGGCAGCTATACAACGATTCCAGCGCATTTTCCATGCTTCGCAACATTTCTGGAACGCTTCGACTGGGATGTCCGCGAGTATCCTCGTTACGGCCGCTTGGATGTCCTCAATCGACTCAAAAAAGTCACAGAGTGACATATCCTGCGAATAAGGTGGATGTCGCAACAGGACGATCTCTTTAGAGGCCAAATACTGGGACACGCTGAGGGCTGACGAACGATGTCTGGGCGCATCCTGTTGACTCGTTTTTGCAATCTTTCGGTGGAGGAAATTTTTTGTGAACCAATCCACGGCCATCAAAAAAGGCAATAATCATAATATGACGAGCACGCCGAACACACGTTTACTCAACACGACATAGCAGGCGAACTATACAAGCTAGAACGATGGCGAAAGTTATTAATGGAGGGGAGAAGGATGTCGGGAGAAGGGAATGGAAGTTTCAAGGTCGCATGATTACCACAATCGCGGCAATATAATCGGTCCCATTACTTAATTTTCACACCTCGTACATATTTAGCTCATAAATCAAAGCGGGAATTTCGTTTTCTAACATGTATATGGGGTAAAGTGCCTATTTTTTCAGCCTCAAAACAGAAAGTAAAACAAGTACAATTCTTATTTACTTAATTATTTTTGCATATAGGTATGTATGTATATTTAATTTTATTAAACTTTTTTAAGTAATTATAATTATTGGCATGTGTATACATATTTATTACTCTACTAGTCTAAAAAATTATGATAAATATTATATATTGTGCGTGCATGTAGTATAGTAAAATCGATTTGCTACGTACATATAACCAATTAAATAAATTAATAATAATATCAAAGGAATTTTTAAACGCCTACTAACGTTTAAATGTTACACAATAGCTACTTATTGCATATATGCATATAAATATATACGGGTATTGTAAGTAAGTTCCCATCTAATCTTCTGGTTACCTTGTAGACTAATTGCATTTGAGATTCCAACATACTTTCTTTAGAATGATATTCGATTTGAATTAAAGGTGAAATAAACGGTAAAAAGGTTATAATGACTGTCCGATTTTATGAGCAAATAAATAACGCTCTAAAATAATCTGAAAGTTAACCCTTTCTCATCATATCGTTTGGATTTAGTATAACTTTTATTATAAATGTGTCAACAGAGGAACGAATATGAGAAAGTAACATAACAACTGTGAGCGTGGAAAATAACAACATACATTTACTCTACATAGAAAAGCTTAACTCCTATTTAGCTCTAGCTTGTTAATAGTATATTTCATTCGGACCATGACATCTCCTGTTCGATTAACTGATAATTGAAATAATTAACGTCGACATTTTTAAATCTTCACAAACACGCATATAATTACTAAATGTTAAATAATAAACAAAAACATTAAAAAGTTTTATACATGAAACACGAAGTTCGGTCAAGTATCTGTCGACATACTGGTATTTTAGTTGCTTTGATGTTTCCTATCTTCTTTTTGTAGGATTTCTTCAGGAGTGCCATAACTTTGCTGTGTTGAATTATAAGCATGATGAACATCATTAACATTTTCAATTTCGATGTACTCATCTTCTTCGCCAGTTGGGATTTTATCATCATTTAACAATATTTCTTTCTTAACTTCTGGATAGGGCACTGAGTTTTCGGTTGCATTCGGAAATGAAGTAAACTTTTCCTTATCTTTTTCTTTGTCTTTCAACTCACAAGTAGTCTGTGACTCATGAGCCAGTAAGTGGTGCTCGAGTTCAGCACGGAAAAAGTACTTGTCACTACATAAATTACAGTCGTAAGGGCGGCACTGAGGCCCGTGCTCATGCATGTGAGTCAGTAAGCTGCTTGGTGTAGTGAAAACGGCAGAGCATATGTAGCAGTTGAAACCTCGTTCTTCACACCCAGCAAAGGTATGCTCCACCAAATGCTCCTGCAGTTTTTGGGCATGTGGTAACATCAGTTTGCAGATATTACATCGACTTTCAGTTGGCAATGTATTACGTCGCACTTCTGGAACATGTTCAAAAATTTCATTTCGTAGGCGGTGGGTATTGAATTTACCACCCAGTTTGTGTTTCCGGCAACATTTTTCGCAAACTTTAGCGTCGCCATTGTTGGAATTTGGGATAGGTTCTAAGCAGAGTGCACAAACGCTTTCGGGACTGTTCGAAGATTTGGTATGAAATCTACAAAAAAAGAGGATTTTCTAGAAATTATAGAAATATATTAAATTGTGTTAATATTACTGGGCATGCAAGGTGATCTCGAAATCCGAATGCAACGACTGTCGACAGCAGATGCATTGCATGGGAAGCTGGCTCTCATTGTTGTGCTCACTCAGATGGGCTTTATAAGCTGCAACGTCGTCCAAAGGCTTACTGCAATGTGAACATTTCCCCGATTGACCAACTTTAGAGTGTTGCAACTTGTGTTCCGCCAATATAGCGGGTGAAGGGAAAATTTCGTCGCATATTAAACACTTATGTTTTCCAGTGGAGTTATGACAAGTCTTCATATGATGCTCCAACTCACTACGAGATTTAAAATTTCCTGAGCAATATGCACAACGTAGACTAACTCCTGTTTTCATATTATGTACAATCTTTCGGTGGGAATTCACTTCTCCTTCCGACCGAAAATCATTGCGTTCGCAAATATCACAACTATAACACATGGAAGAACTTGAAGCTACCGACGTCGGTATTATCGATTCTGCTGGGGATCGATTTTGATGCAAATCTGGTTTCAATTTTAGGTGCTGAGCGATTGGCTGTGGTTTCGGGCTGTTGTAATAGTTTTCCACGGTTGTTGGTTTTTCCATCCTTTGCTGAGTATACATCTCTATTAAGGTTCGACTTGTGTCGAAATAGCGTTGGCTTAAGCCATACATAAGTCCCGGATGCTTAACGGTGCTTGTATCGACTTGCAAAGCATTATAGAACTTACCATCGGCCAAAGGAGCCACTGCTGTGGGACCGGGGAAGAGGCTCTTATTAAGATGTGCGGCAAACGCAATGTTGTAGTCAAGAATGCTTGTGTTGTTATTTTGTGAGGAAATCGGCATTTGTGGAGTTTTACTTAACAAAGCATTCATATAAAGTGAATTAATTTGATTCGGTACATTTGATGGTGTCGATGCATCTTCAAATGTTCCTTTTGAAGATAACACTGGTCGAGTATTGCCACTATGATGGCTTTGCATATGCCGGTCCAACAGAAATTCCACGTGAAATGTTTCCGGGCATGATGGGCATTGAAATTGGCGTGCATGTGCGGCAAGATGAAAATGCATTTCTAATTCATTTGAGCACACAGTTCGACAAAACATACATTGAAGTGAGTTGGGAACTGGTCCATTCAGCCCCGGGTGATGCGATTTAACGTGATTATTGAACTCACTCTCAGATCTAAATATTTCCATACAAGCTGAGCAACGGAAAGATTTTGTTTCGACAGAATGTGTGCAAGCGAAATGCATTTGAATTGCCATTTTCGACTCAAAGAGCTCAGAGCAGACCGAGCATTTGAACATGGAAATTGTATGCTGATCCAACATGTGGCTTTGCAGCTCATCTGCCTTTGAAAAAGATTTATCACATTTGCTGTATTCACAAGCATATTCAGAGTTAGAGATTAAATAATGCGAGATTACGTGGCGTTCGTGCTCAGATGGCTCTTGTAACGCCAAACCACAATGATGACAAATAAGATTTAATCCTTGAGTTATGTGCGTTTTTAAATGACTTCGGAACTTCTCAAAATCTGGTAGGCCAGCATTGCATTGGTTGCAAAAGAATATGTCGGGTTGAAAAGACTCCTCTGTCGTTGATACTGGGGTCGGTGAGCGTCGTTTATTTTGACTAAGGTCAGTGGGTTCTTCCTCTTGTTTTTCATCTTTGGCATTTACTGAAGGTACGATCTGTTCCTGCTTTATATTATTTCGTTTCGCTATGTTGCCCTCCTTCAAGGCTGTTTTGTCAGTTACTAAGCGAGGACTGAAAGTTCCAGATGCAGCCAAGCGATTGAAATGCTCAAAATAAGAGTTGGGACTGGCCAATCGGTCGACATGGGAGATGCGTATGTGTTGAAATAGTGCAGGAAGATTTCCAAATTGCATAGTGCAATATTCACAACGCAGCTGAAATGAACTCTGGTCTGAGAAAGTACTGTTAGGAGTTGTCTGTTGTTGTATTTTTTGTGTTGAAAATATTTCTTTCTCATGCTTTGTTTGTATATGAATGTCCAACTGATCAATGGAGTTGAATTCAGTTTTGGAGCAATAGTTACACGTTAAAAGATTGACAGTCCGAGGTCGCTTTGGGTGTTCCAACCGGTTTGACTTATTTTCAGTATGAATTAATGCCGCAGCATAGCGCCTTTTATGAAAGCTTCCACTACTGGAGACTGATCCACTGGATCGGGGGCTATAATTGAGCGCTTGTGGGTTTCCACCGGCAGCTAGGATAGCTGCCTGCTTTTTATGGTTTTGCATATGCGATGTCAGTGCCGCGGCGGTATTGTACCCACGATTGCATATCGTGCATTGAAATGGTTTCTGATTATCATGAGTTTTCATATGGATTTTGAGATGATCGCTAAAAATTAAAATTACTTAATAAGAGCTCGTTCGTTACGAATTATATTTATTCGGTCGCTTGATGGCGAGCTGTAATTGCATACAAAATTGTAAATTATTATTATTATTACCTTCGAGAAAAAGCAGCCTCACAGTGAGGGCAGCGGTAACGGCGATCCCCGGTGTGCAGTTTAGTGTGTCGATCCCTCGATCTCTTGTGCTTAAACAGTCGAGCGCAATAATCACATTTAAAGGGTAGATGCTCGGCATGGCTCTGAAATACAAGTCAGATTTTTATTATTGTATATTCTACATATGAAAATATGTCCACATATACGATTATAAGCCGGGAATTCTTCTATAAATGAAAAATGTAGAATATGTCTATCAATTCCGAATATATGAAGGTAATTATAATTACGCGTCCTCTGGCCAAAGCCCAAACCAAAGTAAGGTGATAAGATCTCCTCTAAGTACAACAGTTGTTTATTTCTATGAATCTAAATTTAATACACTTACATATGTAAATGCTGTTTGAATGCAAAGCTGTAATTATTTTTACAAACAAATTTCAGTATATTATATTTTTTTGCGAAATTAAGTTTCAAGCCGGCATGGTAGTAGTAACCGAGTGTGTGCTACTATGCGCACGATCATTGGTTCGAATTCTTGTACAATACACATACAGAATTATCATGTGGAGTCCATCGGCCATTCGATGTCGGCTCAGGAAAAACTGTACGGGCCCTCAAATTGGAGGAAAAATTCGGCCGGAAAAGGGTTCAGCGGTTATAAAGAGCCAATCAAATACATACATCTATACAGCTAAAGCCGTAAGTGAAAAACATATGTACGTTTGCTTTTACATATATATATATATACATATATGTAGGATATTCATATGTAGGAAGTATGTCCATACTTTTGTATATATGGTGAATCATAGCTTTAGCCATTCTTGGCGGCATTTTCGCTTTGAACCCTGATGAAGCAGCCGACGTTGTCACCGAGGACGCCTAACAAACTCGCAAATAAGCCAATTTGTATGCAGATTCATAGCGCATATTGCACCATATGAACAAGTTATCGCGTCGCTTATGGGTTTTTAAACTGCTCACCAAATCATCAACACATGAACATAAATATTCACGCTCAAAATATGTATCAAAAGTCGAGACAAATGGCAGTTGGAATGGAGGTGCTGTCGGCTTGTACTAAAAGCAAACAAGTAACAACTGATGAAGTACATCAAAAGTTGACAGTGCAAAAATTTACAAACGATAAGAATCTAGCACACTTGACTGCTGTCGTTCCAACATAACTGTGGCACCACGGATCGGTTGGCATCTCACCCGGCAGCTTAAAAGTGCAAAGCGGAATACCAAAAGAAAAAATTTCTGCATACTTTATATATGCCAGTATATATGTATCCGCTCACAAGTGTACATATGTTTAACCACGTAAAATTAAGCGTAATTTTGAGGTAAACCGTCTAGAAAACCATTGAGAAGAACAAAAATAAAATCATATATTAAAGCAGAAAATATGAAACAAATATTGCAATAGAATAAATGGATAATTGCATGTTTGTTGTTAAGTTTCCAAATGATCAAAGTTCATCAGCGGACACAGGCTCAAAAGGCCAGCCTGTAGGTTAATATGACAACCTATTTACGGTCAAACTACTGTGTATACATATAACAAGTTTTAGAATAATTAAGTATTCTTTTTATACAGTGAAATTTTCTATCGTCCGAAAATCGTTTGAGTGGTTACAAAGCGCCAAATGTATAAATACATATGTATATACATATAAAGTGAAAGAAAGAATCAAGAAGAAATTGTCACTTACCCGATCATCGGTGGATATGGTAAAATGTTTGGTCTTTTCAGAATGGAGTAACTGATATTCGGCTCCTCCTGAACGTATCTCTTTCTTACTTGTTACATGAAATATGCATATGTATGGCTATATTATATAATTGGCGCTTTGTAACCGCTGAAGCTAGCTCGGCCCTCTTCCATTTTATGGTTTTGCGTCTTGGTTTTCCAACAAAATGGAGTGACCTAAAGTTTGTACTAAGCGCCTCCGAAAGAATGATGGTTTTTTATGAGGAGCCTTTATTGCATGTCAGAAATACACTCGGACGGGTTGACCTTCCCTGTCGAGGGAAGACCGCAATTAGAAAATTCTAACATTTGGATGTTGTACGACGCCAGGATTTGAACCCGAACCTTCCGAATGGCCAAACGCAATGCTAAGCACTCGGCCAATGCGGCCGCCATACTTCAAAATGCAAAAATACGAAAAATTTTAACAAAAGGAATAATTTGGTTTCTTCTAGAGCTCGGAAGTTTTCAAGTAGTCCGAATGGTTTTTTTTTTCAAATTTTTCTATACCAAATGTTTTGGCGGTTCTTTTATTCTAGCAAATTTTGCCGTTGAGATAAACAGTTATAAAACTCAAACACCGAATATATCCAGTGTTTAGATGTGAGTACTTATTGCATTAAAATGGAGAAAACTAGCAGGCCAGTCACGCGTTGATTTGACCTTTCTGTATTTCGTTCATTTATTACATTTTATAATCGATGTTTCCAAGGAGGTTGTTGGTAAAAATTATATAAATTCTAATTACGCTTCAACGAATTCAGAAAATTCGCATCAGAATTTTGCAATTACTTGCTTTTTCGCTACTACTTCTGTAAAAGAAAAGTACTGTATCAGGGCTATTGTGAACCTCGATTTTCATTGGAATCAGAAATGAATCCGATCAAAATTGCATAATATATTCGAACCAGTTTGAAGTTCTACATTTCGATTTGTCGGAAAACTATTAGTTTGGAAATTTAATTCGTTTTTCCTCATTTTTTCATGAATTCGACTACCTTAATAATTGTAGGTGTAATACCTGCGCCAATTATCATGGTGTAAGCCTCCTTTATATCGCCTATAAGGTCCTGTCGCACGTATTGTGTGAAAGACTAAAGCCTACCATCAAAAAACTCATTAGACCTTTTCAGTGTAGATTCGAAATCGACCATTGACCAGATATTCACCATGTGCCAAGTCTTGGAAAAAATCCCTGAAAAAAGGTTCGACAACCACCACCTCTTTGTCGATTTTAAAGCCGCCTTCGACAGCTCGAATAGGAGCTGCCTTTACGCCGCTATGTCTGTAGTTCATATCCCCGCACCGTCAGGATAGGGAAGAGTGCTTCCTTATCGTGTGATTTTTTTAACTTATTGCTGGAGAAAATAATACGCGCTGCAGAGCTGAATAGAGAAAGTACAATCTTCTATAAGAATGTAAAGCTCCTGGCGTACGCCGATGATATTGACATTATTGGCCGCAACATCGCGCCGTGAGTTCTGCTTTCTCCAGACTGGGAGCGAAGGATATGGGTCTGGTAGCGAACGAGGGCAAGACGAAATATCTCCTTCATCACACAGACAGTCATAGCATGCACGACTCGGCTCCCACATCGTCTGGTTGGGGACCACCATAAACACCAACAACAATGTCAGCATGGAAAGTCAACGCTAAATCACTTGCCAGCAGCCGCTACTTTTTGCTAAGTAAGCAGTTTAAAAGAGAGGTCCTCTCCCGACGAACTGAAAACCAAACTCTACAAATCCCTCACCATTCCCATCATGCTATGTGGTGCGTAAGCATAGACGATGACAACATCTGCGCAACTGCGATCCTGCGGGTTAGGGGTTCAAGAATTTACCGCCGGCGGTACCCACAACAGTCGGGTCTTTATACCGGAACGAACGGGGTTTTTATCCGGCCAAGTACTATCACTCCCGCAATATTTCCCAACAACTACTTTGGGGAATATTTTTCGGTTACAACAACATCACCTGATGGGTCGGCGTTTGGAGATTTCGAGAAAAAAATTTGCGTAAGAGTTACGTTCCACTACGTGTTGGTAACGGCGATGGAATGATGAGCTGTATAAGGCGGCATTGACATAGTTCAGCGAATCAAGAAATAGTGGCTACGCTGGCTAGGTCATGTGGTTCGCATGGATAAGAATAGTCTAGCTCTGAAAGTTTTCGATGTACTACCGCCGGTGGAAGCAGAGGATGAAGAAGACCTCCACTCCTCTGAAAATACCAGGTAGAGAGAGAATTGGCTCTATTTGATATCTGCTATTCGCGCAACGAAGAAAAGAAATGATTGGCGCCATGTTAAAAAATCGGTTAAAATTGCTTAGCCGGTAGGCCGTTTCAAGGTTTAATCAAAGTACAGTTTATTTATATAGTTTTCATTCATTTGTTATAATGAAACTAAGAGACTCACTGGATTTCACGTAACCTTCACGTTTTTTTCTCTATAATCGTGGCCACAAACAAAACAAAAAAATATTTTAAATAGCTTTTTGACAACTCTTTCAACTACAAAGTAAACTGCTTCAGCTTAAAACTTCTATTTATCGTGCAAATTAATGTCAGCCAAATATCTTATTCTGTTGATATGTACGAGAAGTAACAGTTCATATTAAACTCAATATATCCGTACGTATCTACACGTGGTAAACGACTTGCTCTCTTATTCTCTGAGAGCACTCATGAAAACCGCGATATGGAGGAGTTGTGGGACGGTATTTCAAACTCCCAACGTACAGCTGCAAATGAGACTATCGAAATTATATATATCGAGAACTGAAACAAGAAGCAAGACGCATTTGCCGACGAAAAAAAAAGCCGATATGAATGAGTATGAAGAGCTTGAAAAGCTGGCCGACAAGGCTTTTGATCGAAAATTCTATGAAAAGATACGACGACTTACATAAGGTTTCAAGACCGGAGCAGACTCTTATAGAAAACAAGGAGGTGATCTAGTTACCGCTGCCCAGTATATATATATAATTTATGGAGGGAACAGTTCTCTGCTGAATGGCAGTGAAAGTGTAATGTCAAGAGATGGCAAACACGATTCCCCAATCGATAACGACGGAACAAATATTTCGTTGTCCGACTATGAAGAAGTTCGAATAGCATTTGTCCGCTTGAAACCCAAAAAAAGCGGCAGGAGCCCATGGATTACCGGTCGATCTATTCAAATACGGTGGTGAAGAACTGATGAGGTGCTTGTATCAGCTTTCAGATGGAAGCAGTCACGACGATTGGGCCAAATACATTAAAAATGGCGATTATACAATCTTCGCCAATTACCGTGGGATAAGCCTCTTCAATATCGCATATAAGTTTTATCCAGCGTATTGTGTGAAAAATTAAAGCCCACCGTCTACAAAGTAATTGGACCTTATCAGTGTGGCTGATACCTGACCTGGTAAATCAACCTTTGACCAGATTGCAACAAATCTTGGAAAGACCCGTGAAAAGAGGGCCAACACACACCCCCTCTTCGTCGATTTTAAGGCAACCTTTCGATAGCACGAAAAAAAGCTGCATCTACGCGGATGGGTCTGGTATTGAACGAGGACAAGACGAAATATCTACTGTCATCAAATTAACAGTCATTGCATTCGCGATTTGTCTCCTGCTTCACTGTCGACAGTCACAACTTCGAGGTCGTAGATAATTTCATCTATCTAGGAACCAGCATTAACACCAATAATAAGGTCAGCCTTTAAATCCTACGCAGAATCACTCTTGCCAACATGTGCTACTTTGGCCTAAGTAGAGAATTCAAAAGTAAAGCTCTCTATCGACAAAGGAAGACCAAACTCTACAAGTCGCTTATCGTCCCATCCTGTTTTATGGTGTGGAAACATGGACGATGACAACATCTGATGAGTCGGTGTTAGGAGTTTTCGAGAGAAAGGTTTTGCATAAGATTCATGGTCTTTTGCATTTAGGGAGCAGGGAATATAACAGTGATAGAACGATGATAGTTCAACGAATCAAGATACGGATAAGAATATTCCAGCTGCGGGTTGGTTGTCACTCCCGCACATTCCCCGAAAGGTACTTTGGGGAATATTTTTGCGGTTATAATAACAACAAGAACAATATTCCAGCTTTCGATGCAACACCCGCCGGCGGAAGCAAAGGAACACCGTTGGAAAGACCAGGTAGAGATGGACCTGGATGTACTTGGTATCTCCAAGGGGCCGAAAGAAGAAATTAATAGCGCCATGGTATTAACCCGGCTATAATCGCGTAAGCGGTGTCTACGCCAGTAAAGAAGAAGATCGACAAGTACACAACAAGGGATGGATATTTCCAGAAGTCGCTATGTACAGAAAGAGTCTAGAGCACTTAATCCATTAACGAGATATAGTTGCAAATGTTTGTATTTTAAAGGAGCCATTCTGACAACTTTATGACGTTACAGGTACGCTTAAGCCTAATAGCAATGTCTGTTCACCAGAAAAAAATGTGTGCAAAATCTAAACCTGTCCGCATAGCGAGGTTATGTGTGAGGTTTGGGACCCACCACATAGACAAAGGTATGTACTGTATATGAATGAACGCAAATTTGGTGTCGTCATCGGGTCCTGGTGGACGAACGTCTCGCCACGATTCGTATCAAGTTAAAGTTATTTAGCATATCACTCACTAGCGCGCACGTCCCAAAAAAGAGAAGGACGTTGTGACCCTGAGCACACGCATGAGCACTGTTCCAGCCACAGTATCGAAGAAGACAGGTGCCGCAAAGTGTTCCTAAATGTAAGGAGGCTGGTCCACTTCGCTGGAGCCTAAGTAATATTGTCTGCGGTACTTGATACCAACGCAAGCAACTTCATTAAGCGTGTAGACTGTCCCCGTATTGAAAACTTGCAGATCAATAATATTATGATAGAAGAACAACATAATTCCACTGTTCTTGATGTGTGTACGTTTCAAGGATCTAACATCGCCTCGTAACATTCTCAGCAAAAAATACCCATCAACAAACGTGAGAATGGTTCGACGTAGAAAAGTTGCAATTTCAGTCCAGCAGTTTTCGTTCAACTTGCTTGGTTACAACTGAAAAGAGTCTATCGAAAAGCTGGTACGATGAGGATTGCGTGCGGGGAGAGAAAGCAGACAGCCTAACTGACAACAGAAAATTGAATAGGGCAGCGAAAAAAAAGAACGAAGTGCGTGAGTGTGAAGAGCTTCAGAAGCTGACTGATGAAAAGAAGATCCACATCAAACAGCCTTCAACTTCACGAAAAGTACCTCCACGTCGCTAGGTTAAATTTGGTATGCCCGCAAAATTATATGGCTGTGTAAACTGATATTAAGTACCAAAAAGATTTCTATGAATGTGTCTCCTTAACGCCGATGATATCATTGGTCGCGTATGGATAAACATGACGAAATATCTCCTCACATCAAGCAAACAACCATGGCAGTCGCGCCTCGGCCCCCACGTCACTAGACGGTCATAACTTTTGAAGCCGTTGAGATTTTTGTCCTTTTTTGAACCAAGATTAACACCAACAGCCATGTCTTGAAATCCCTCGCTGAACCACTTTTACCAAAAGATTCTACTTTGGACTGATTTATATACATAGATATCTATGGCTTTGCAAAAACTGTATCGGGCGACCATAATTAGAAGAATTAGGTTTCTATAATCTTGGCTGTTGGCCGAACTAGGGCTCAATCCATGACCCTCAGAATGACTGTACGCAATGCTAACCAAACGGCTATTGGAGCCGCCTGCAGCTCTGAAAGTACTTCATGCAATAGAGATGAAACTACTGGCGCACTGTTGTTAAATCGGCTATAATCGCATAAGTGGTGTCTACGCCAGTAATGAAGATGATGTTCCGTTTACACCATAAAAGCGAGGACTCCGCAAAAGGTAATTTTCACAATTATTTAAGTATATACGAGTATATATATAAATTCAAAATTCTAGAAAAACATTAACCCTCGTTTGTAATTAATATTTTACGCCTTACACGCCTAACCTTTTAAATTATTTTTAAGAATTTACTGCCCTGTGCTCAACTCACCTGTTCGTGTTTTTTTAAATAACCAAGTCGCGGAAATGATTTATCACAGAACTGACACTGATAAGAGCCATCAACGGTGTTACCCTTAATGCCATCGCCTGTCAACTTATCAAACTTTGTAGCGACTCTTTCGATTTTTCGCAGTTTTGTTATAATTTTCGAGCTGTGATAGTCGCCGTGGTGGTAAAGGTGCTGCCGATGAAGGCGCGCTTGTCTTTTGTGTTGTGTATCTGCGTTGGCATTGTTTTCTAGTTGCGCAGCATTGAGTGTATCAGCGGAATTATTTTCAGAACTTTTGACATCTCCATTACCACCCACTTCATTTTCTTCAGTTCCTTCATCCTTTGTCGTGTATAACCCCTTTCGCTGATTAACTCTGCGACTGGTGTCTCCGTCAGTATTCTGTTGTGGAAAATATTGCATTGATTGGGAGTGTGAGTGATGTTCTTGGTGTTGCAATGAGTTTGGTGTTAACGTGCCATCTGATACTGAGGGTGAGTAATTAGAAGAGGTGTGCGTGGAGTACATATCTGCAAATTGAGATGTTCATAAGAAACAGTTTTAATTATTATATTATTTTGAGAAGTTGTATTTTCTTTGAATAAATATGTATATAATTATATCCGTATAAAAATATTATAATAGAATTAATTTGTTTTACAAATACAGTATTCCACATATATGTTAATTTCACCTTTTAATTTTGAAATAAATTTCTCATACAAATCAATTACTTATTTTTCTCATGCTAGAAATATAATCTGAGGTATTGATCCTCCACGAAAAGGGCCGAAAAGTGTTTGGATAAAACACATTAGTGATTTTTTGGTAAGTGATCGATCGTCCGATTGGCTTGAAATGGAATATATGTATATGTAAAGATTTTTAAAAGACAGTATTAAAAGCTGAATGCATGCTCTTTTTATTTGACTTTCGATAAACAAAAAAAAAAGAAAGGAAATTCGTCACAAGAATATGCGTGTCTATAACTTAATCGGTTTAATTACTGAAACCGCTTTTAATGACTCAACTGTCGGCGATACTAATTGCGACAATGTGCATTTGAGCGTACATACTTACATACGAGTATAAATGCGTGGGTGTCCCTCGCATCCTTATTAACTAAGTTAGCGTTAACTGTTGTTTTTGTTAAAAGGCGCCAAAACACAGGAAATCTAATTTCAACCGATCGTGCGGGAGACACATCGTCAAATTAATTTAATTAAAATACTCGAGTACATATGTATATATATAAACATATGTAGGCGCATAGTAATGCACCCGAACTTCTTTTGGAGTATGTATGAACATATCTGAACCACTCAGAAAATCCACACACTTTTCATATAATAAAATATGTACAAATTAAGTGTAAGCACACATACTCGCACATAGTTAATCTTATATACGATTACATTTGCCTTCTAATGTAAGCTTCGGTCTTCAGAAGCATAATTAAGACCCAACCGCTAACTATGATTGGGCGAGAAACACATACATGTGAATGTATTGTATTTACATGATACATATATGGTATTTACATACATACATATGCACATATTACTCATCTGTGTACTATTTGTTTGCACATGATATTTATTACGATGCCCATACAAATGTCTGAATGTTCAGAGCGTGTGTGCAGAACAAACACTTAAGGAGGATGTAATTGTTTGTGGCGACACTTAAAGTACAAATTAGCGGCAGTTGTGCGACTTTTGTCGGCAGCATCTCACCAAGGCCTTCCCCTCATCACGACTTTCAACAAATGTTCCTGCTTGTATGATATAATGCACACTCTATTGTTGTACTATACTGATGGCCAGTGCTATTGAAAGTGGGCAGTTCGCACAATTCATGTTTAGTAATGAAAATGCAAATTATTTGGTTAAGGGAAACCTCAATTTCGTATAACTAGTTGGACGTCAAGAATGATAAACTACGGTCGGTTTTTGTCTTTGAATTTTCATTTTTTCAAAATAAAAATAATCTGTTCGCTTTAAGTGAAAACTTATTTAACTACAGACATACATAGTTGTATGTACATACGCGTACATTTACAACTGAGGTCGGAAATTATAAGCTGAATTTCTGAATGTATATATATAAATGGTTCAAATCAGACAAAAATAATAGCCAATAATGCAATTAAAATTAAATTTAGTGGTATTGTTGGCTTTTAAGAAATTTGGTGTATAAATACATCCAATGGGATTATATGTCCATATGGAAATTTTAAAATAACTTATCAAATTTAGTCTAACAGATTTACTATTTGTAGCTGAAAGGATTTTCAAAATCTAAAGCACCAACTGAGCCATCGGCGACTAAAATCCAATGGTTTCCGGTACAGTCTGGTTTTTTTTTATACCGGAATCATTAGGAATTTTTTCCTGCCAAGGACGATCACTTCCGTAACATCCGAACCAAGCTTTTGGCGATATTTTGCGGCTACAACAACGCATACACAGGCCAATTCCATCGAGGTAATAAAATTTACTTTGTTTTTAAAATTTACCATTCAGTAAATTTTGCTACTTTTTCGTTTTCTGAATTCATTGTCTCTCGGTAAATTTTGTTAACCGCGAAATAGGAGGTAAAAAACAATCTGCTGCTTGATTTTGTGTTGTTTTTTTTTTTTGATAAAAAAAAAATAAAAACCAAAATGTGTGGGCATATTTTCCGTCTAGAACTCAATAAAGATGAAAAAAGGCGCATGGAAGATAACAGTCTCATTCAGCTTTTTTTCGATCTGGCATATTTTCTATAATTAAACTTCTTTCTACTCTACCAACTGGCAAATGTAATTGGACATGACCGAAAAAAGTGAGAATAGGTCTGACAATTTAGGTCTACATCCAACTTTGATGTTTAGTTTGAAGGGAAAGTTGCAATTCGTGCTCGGAAAATTTCAGTTAGTAAAAACTAGAAAATTTGAAAAACAGTTGTTTTGTGATTATATGATTCAAATTTTATGAACAAACTAAAATTGAATTAAAATGAAAATTATATGAATACTTCAATATGACTTAAACACTAACAAAATAAGTGCCCAAGTATAGTATTGTAAAATTAAAATTAATGATATCAACGACAGAATTTAATATTATATTTAGTTGAAGTAGTGGCAGTGTAGTGAAATCATCATCCTCACAGAACACAGCCTATATTGAGGAATTGGTAATTAGGAATATTGATGGCATCAAATATTCTTATTTATCTGATATCCTTTTAGCTGCAATGGCCGCTGTGACGATATTGCATTTTTAAGCTTCTGAAAATTTAGCCGTATGAAGCTATTTCTATGTACGAGTTTGCTTGGATTTTATTCGAAGTATTCAATTAACATTTCGAGCTAAAACGGAAAAAGATCTCCAAACTCATTTTCGTATTTCCGTCATTCTCCCTGAAGATCGAAGTGAAAAATGTAGCAAAGTAAGTTTTACAAAATCTTCGTCCTTTATGGTTTGTTGGCTTTGAAGCATGTGGAATTACATCATAGTCACAATTGATACATTTAATATTTCCAGATATGGCTATTATTTTTTCTCGGTAGTATTTTTTTCAAAAGATATTCAATGCCAATATGATTTGTTAGATTTTTTTCGAATAAATCGGCGCTAGTTCCATTATCCGAATGAAAAAGTGTTTTCCGTGTCAATTTGGGCAAAGAGCTACTTATGTAGCAAATTTCATGTAAATAAAAACAAAAATAAATTTGTTTTTTTTCGATCTCGATCTATGTCCTGTTCATTTGTGTGCATCCCGAAAAATCCTTTCTTATCGGACGCCTATGTTATACTCGTATATAAAAGGAAACTTCTAAGTTTCAGGTGTCTGCGTTCAGTGGATTCCCTGCAGAAACGGGCTGATGGGTTCACCGATCCACTCAAACTATACATTGCAACCGCTGAAGCGATTCTCGGCCGAGCACCTACTCCGACCGCAATTAGAAAATTGAACTTAATTTTTTATTTTATCTAAATTTCTATAACTTATGGATGTTGCACCAAGATTTCAACACGGGCCTTTCGACCCGTGCGACCGCGTATACATGTAGGAAAAATGTTTGTCAAAGCTGACTTACTTCGGCATCAGTGCTGTCGCTCACCTGGCTTGTACGGTACTGCTACGCTTTTTCAATATTTTTTTCTTTTGGCATCAACGCTCAGCTGTGTTCTATTTGTCCGTCAAGAATGACGAAATGAACAAGGAAACGAAGAGTGAATGGCGTACACGTATAAAAATGTAAACATCACATCTGTCAATTCGGTCTTAAGAAAGTGATCGTTCAAGGAGTTGACGGAATATGACATCATAAGCATTCCTGACATATGTTCTTGTAGGCTGTGGGTTGATAAGTCAGTCATTCAGGATTTACATATATACATGCGTATATACGAGTAGATAAAAAAAGAGCTGTGGCTAAAACTAGATTAAAAAGTACTTATTTACAACGTAATTTGTTTGTGTAGAACTCAATTGTGGGTACTACTGTAAACGAAAAAATAATTAGGTTCCAATCCAAGATTTTAAAGATAATCATAGTACAATCACTCGAGAGGTATCGTAAAGTAAAGTACAGTAACGTAATTTTTCACTGATCGCTATTTTTGCTTTTGGGAATCAGTTGCTAAATTTCATGAGAGACACAAAAACTGTATGAGTGTACATCTTATGCAAATGAAATATTTTTCAAAACATAAAAATTGATTTCATTGAATTTTATAGAAAACACACGATCTATAACTTTACATAGCCATTCATACCATTCGGAAGGTCTGACCAACATTCAAAATTATAAAAAAAATTTAACAATAAAAACAAATTTTCACACTGTGGTACACTTCGGCCAGGAATGTCAACCCCTTAGAGTTTATTTCTCATATGAAATAAATGCCGTGCGGAAGCATAAATTGTAGGTCATAAACTCCAGAAGGAGGTCAAGAATCTGCGTGAACAATAGCTTCGTTGTCCGTATGAGTTTCTCGAGCTTGACACAATTCTTCAAAAATATCTACTGTGAAACTTCTGTCGTTTATTTTATTTTATGCTTTTTATAATCCAACAACGTCTGCTCATTCGGTAGACTCCACACGAAGATAATTCGAAAAATAAAACAAGAAAAAAATGTGAGAGTGTAATATGGAACAGCTGACATGATTGGAGTGTAGAAATCTTATTTTAGTATCTTCTCTACGCTACTTTAAGATATGTTTTTTAAGGTATGTTTGTACATATTGTGATAAAGCAGGTTGTGTCAGCTGACAATACCTTTCGAGTAAAAGGCGCCTTACGCAACATTTTTGACGTAGAGGTCCACAAGACCTTTGTTCACCTCAGAAAAACGGTTAAATAAAACATATACGATATCTTTCCGGTTGTTTTATTCCTTATAAATTTAGAAAAAAATATAATATATATGAAACCCCGCCAAAAAAATATAATTTTCAAGTTAAACTCATTGTTTTCAGTTAAAAGCAAGCCAAACATGGTGAATCAGTTGGTATGCGAAATAAAACATGATTCGAATTTTTACGTTTTCAAGAGACTTTACAAGCTTCGGTCGTTATTTCGGATTTTCAAAAAGTGAAGAGGGTTTTGAAGTAGGAAACCTACTTAATCATTTTAAAATAAGCTCAGTTAGTCGTTGTTTCTAAAACGTCATCATCTGATTTTTCGAATTGTAACAGAGAGAGAGAGAGAGAGAGAAAGGAAGGTAAGGGCTGGACGCCGGCAACTGTGAAGCAACATAAACTATCGAAGTGTCACTTTAGATTGCCGTCGAAGATCGTAAGATCGCTGAGAAGTACTGACTGATAAATCGATAAGTTAACCTAACTAGACTCGATGGATTAATGGATGTGGCGAATCACGGTCATCTTCAAAGAGCAACGTCATAGCACGCTTGGAAGGACAACTTTATTTTGTAACAGTATTAATTCAAAGAGATCCTACATTTGTGTGACATTGGTAGCTTTATTGAACTAACATTTTTCGAAAAATCTTGTTTTTTAAATACTCATCGAGGAACACCGTTTCTTTTGAATTTTCTCCATTTGAACATCACGGTAAATTATTATAGTTAGTTAGATTACAAGTAAAAATTCGACTCATTATTACTTTATTGAGTTTTACAGAGCGTGTGTATGTGCTTACATACACATATGTTATTAATATTTTAGAATTGAATATATCTAAATATAATGTGGACATACATACATTCTTGACAATAAAAGTAGCCGTAACTGTCCATAAGTTCTTAATTTGTGTACATAAAAGATAGTTATTAAACCAATAACTAGCATACATGAATTTTCTCGTATGGTACTAAAGTAAGCTAATTTATAACAAAAATTATGCGTATTCCAAGCTCCTCCTTCAATTTTGTGATGTTTGCATCCAGAAAATGGAGGGATCTACAATTTAATTTAAGCCACCTCCGAAGGGCTGATGGATTTTATAATTTCATTATTAATATTTCCAGCGGCTTACTCATCTACCTCTAATCCGCACGAGGAGCGCAGTTCGCATTTCGTTGATACTGATAATGAGCAGAAGAACTACAACTGGGTTTCAAAACTAGATTATTTCAAATATAAAATGCTAATTAATAATTAGTGGAGAGTCGGGATTGAAATAAAGACACAAACAATGCAAAGGCTCATGAAATTCAAAATTCGATTTACAAGTTTTTAGAAACAAAGAGCAAAATTGTCTCAACAACATAAGTAGGACATTAAGTTTGATTTCAGAAAGTAGGCGACTAGAATTGGATCTATTATTATTTAACCATGAATAGGACTAACTAATGTAGTATACAACATTTGACCAATTTAGTCCATATTTATAACCACACCAACAGTGACGCTGGTTCAATTTATAGTTTCCTATTGTGTAACTAACTGACTGCATGGCTATTCGAAAGAAGCACATAACTTCACTTCCTATTTTTTGAAAATTTAGGGGTATACGTTTTATTTTGAACCATTCAACCGAGCTGATTAGGTCTGCTGAAGTGTCATCCGCATACATTAAAATTTATACATTTTATCTCAGAAGAAATATCGTTTATAATAATACTCTTTGAATTCAGACGGGCAAAATAGCCAAAGGAGGTAGTAGTGCATACTACCATTCGAAAGACCAGACAAATAAAAAAATTAATTTTTCTAATTGCTGTCATCACCTAGCAGCGAGTGTCAACTTCGTCGATTGTATTTCTGAAATATATATAATATATAAAAGCTCCTCAAAAAAATTAATAGGCCATTCGGAGGCCGCTTATATTGTACACCCCTCTACGTATGGGAAATATGTATATTAAGACGCACACCAAAAATTGAGGAGGAGTTGGCCGAAAATCGCTTCAGAGGCTGCAAAGCCCCGTTATATATATTTATAGACACATAGTCAAAAGCTTGGTTGAAGTCGATATATTATTTGTGGCATTGGTGACTTAAAAAGTGTTTCTCCTTGAATTTTTTTTTTTTGAATTTTTTATTTCATGTCGGAATTGCACTCTGGTGTTTGAAGCCCGATAGGTGAACGCAATTCGAAACTTGAAATTAATTTTTTATTTAAATTAGTTTTCTATAATTTTGCATTTTGGTCTAGCCAGATTTCGTACCCATGATACCTAGCAGGGCAGTATACATACGTGTACACTACCCGCCAGTTGCTATCGGTTTTGCTTTTTTTACAAAAATTATATAAAGTTTTTTTCACTCTTTAGATCAAGACCAGAAGCAATATTTCAGATTTTTAAATTCGAGATATGGTTCGAAGAATTGGAAAAATATTTTGTTGAGAGTTTATATCTGCTTATAAATACTTTTATGTACTGATTGCCAAATTATTATTTTTTTTATTAAATTGCTGCCATTTAATTGTTTGCCATTTTGTACTAAATTTATTATAGAATATTATTAAAGCGAACGCAATATGCAAATGGTAATCACTGTCTTTCGGAGGCGGCTTAAAATAAATAGTAGGTCCCTCAAACCACTGAATACCGCTTCAGCAGTTACAAAGCGCCAATTACATATATATAAATTTATATATATTTATATATATATATATGTATATATATATATGTAGCAATATCTTTATCTACCCGACGGGGAGAGCTTATATGCATGTATAATCTCACCTGTAGTTCCAATCTCCTTTGTAGCCTGAATTTTTTCTATTAAATTCTCAAGTTTCGAACTTGGTCCTCGATAGAGCATCTTTACCGCCATTACAACTCTCATATACGAATTTTTTTTTTATATTTCACCGTATAATATTTTAACTTTATTACACACATATACACATACGTATGCTTAATGAATATGCCTCTGAATACATATTTAGTTTACATTATCCATTGCAAGATTTCAATCATTTTTTTGTGGTTTTAATTGTTTGTGAACAACTTTTCAACATTCAATATTTGCATAATATTTTTAACTTTTTTAATATTCATCCGAGTATGTTAATTCCACGGGCACCAAAAACGGACTGAAATCGGGTGCACCATTGCTTGACATTTGAAACGAAGTAAATGCCTATGCATGCGTATATACTAAGTGCACATATTTACTTTTATAGATAACATTCTCGAAGGATTGAGTGGGAGTCATGTGGTTTCGTTTACTTTAAAATTCACTGCCAAATGGTTTTATGCTTCCTTTAACTTCAGCATTCAATGCTTGTGAGGAAATTTTAACTTTCAGTACCCGACGTAGATACATATGCACTAATGTATATGAGCTGAATAATTTAATTATATCAAATGGAAGATAAATGAGAATAAGAACTGTCACTAAAACTCAACCGTTGTCCAACAGCGTTAGTTAACGACTGATGAGTTTGGTGGCGCTGCAGCTTTGGCACAGCTCTGGGATTGGGAGCAGAAATATACCAACAACAAACACCTATCTTTGCCAAGTAGATAAACTAAAAGAAGAAGAAAAGAAATGCTAACACTCACAGCGATAACAAACCCGACGAGAACCGGATTCCTCAAATGTGACGGCACCATAGCGGCGCAACTCGGTTAGTCGTTCGCCTAACAAGGCGCGTTAACGAACACGATTTGTTGTCGTACAAATGAGAAGGGTGAGCGACACAAACAGGATGTAAGGGCGGTATTGTGAGTGTCAGAAACTGTTAAATGGCGCTAGCGCCCACACACCTTTGTTGCCGTAGTCGGTGGCATTCGGTAGTTATATTACTTTTTTCAATATTCATCATCGGTATCTAACGTTTGAGCTTCGTGCTGTCATGTTGTTGGTTCTTGCACTGGCATGAATGATGTTATTGGTGTGTTTTTACATGTTGACTCCCCATTGCTTTCGTTTGCCGAGTATATAAGCGTAAAAAAGAGATGGCAATACCGCTTGGATTACACATTAAACGTGAATTGCACCGAGATTTTATATTTTAAACCCACTCATATACATATCTATATAAACATGTAAATAAAAATATATACATAAATATGTACATGTGCATGTATAAATTTAACGTGTTCACAGATTATAAAAGCTGCACAGGTAGGTACTAATGTATGTATGTTGGTCTGTACAAACATATCTAAATACTTTTACACATTTCTTCATGACATATTAATTAATATTGCATCTATTTAAATCTAAAATAATGGATTTCTTTTATATACAGAAGCAGACATTTTGAAGTATTCACAAAATGCTCCTTTGATGTTTTAAGTGTGGTTTATTATTTTAAGCTTTCTTTACTTAAAAGGAAACGCATTCAGAGGAACAAATTTTAAGTAGCAAATTTAACTATACATATTAGAGATACGAGGATGCATTTACCGCCGCGGTGGATAAAACTTTTCAACAGTAAAAGTTTGTTTGATATTGCAGTGAAGCCACTCAGCGTGGCCGTCATTTTTGTATTTGCCGTTACTGTCTGCGGGTAAAATACAACTTATTTAAAACTAGTTGACTCATTTCGAAATATTACGTTTATTGCGTTATCAGATATACCAGATACAACAAATTTTAAGAACCATGCTTTTCTCTTCGGAATTCGACTATCTGCGGAACAAATCCGCATATTCCCTCAGGCACTGTGCGCCGCATACCTTCATTGCAGGGCTGGTAGAGGACAAACAGTGTTGGAAATGCCAGGAATATAATAAATTTATTATTGGCGATTTGTAACCGATGAAGCGATTTTCGGTTGAACCAATTTATGTGCTGTTTGATGTTTTTCAACAAATGGAGGGACCTATGTATTTACAACAGAAAGGATAAGTCTGAAATATTATAAAAATTGGAAAACTACCACCACGCCGACACTAGTGAATAACAATTTTCAAAGATTGAGACTCAGACACGCCCACCACACATACAAACGTCTGAAAAAAGGAAAAATATAACATGAAATTCATATTATTCAATGGTGACCAATTTTAATTGTAAAAATATCATAAATTAGTCAATGTCATAAATTAGTCGATATGTTAGCTCATAAGAGTAATTTAATGATACAGAGAAGGAATCTTTTCCAGACATCACACCCCACCACTTCAGCAAGCCAGTAGAGTTCAAATACGAGTTTTTCTCTGCAAAAGATTATACGTGTATGTATATGATGTACAACATACATATATTTTGATATAATGGTTGTTAACACATGCTGAAAATGTCAATAGACAGTTAGCGTTGCAAGGTTGGTAAAACTTCATATTTTATTATGATATATAACATAATGCAGCCTTCACATATTCGATGCCAACAGCCAGTGCCCCTAAAATGAATCTTGAAGTCTTACCTCCTTTTTGCTAACAAAAACTTATTAAGTTTCGAATCATATAAAAAAGTTTGTTTTGAAAAAAATAATAACAAATAAGATCACACAATATTAATATGCTTATCAATCTTTTTATTACCTAATATTTAATTTACTTTTTCGTACACAATATGAGCCCTAAACCTACTGCAAGTTAAGCAATTCAGTCTTTCTTTGCTCAGCACTTCAAGTTCAGTATTTTGGTATTGCCACTAGTCTCAAAATTTTAGAGATTTTTTCGATACTACATACGATTTTGGAATTCACTTACGTTGAGCATCTAGAATTCGCGTCGAAATAAATAGATTAGATTAGTAGATAGCAACCTCTAGCTAGAGATGTACATATATGTGCACTTATCAAATAAGTGCTTGTGGATGACTTTATTAAATCTTTTATTAAATATTAACTATTTTAGAACCATAATTTTTCATACAATTAATGAAAATCAGCTTGTTATAATAAACATTAAGAAAGAAGAAAGAAAATTTTTAATGTGTTGTAAAGAATTATAAATTGATATCGTTACCCATCGCTTAACATGCCATATTACTTTTATGTGCATAAATACATATATAACATATTATATTTACATACATACATATGTCTTCAGAAGTGCTCTTTTGTGCTAAACATTTGATCTTTAATTTGATTCCTCTTTGGGACCAATGACTCGATGCTGCTGATAATTTCCCACTCACTATTTTTGAGAAAAAACTATCTATTTGAGACTATAAATTGCTTACTACATCTCTGGGTAGGTATAAATTGGGAACGATTCCCAATAATTTTTGTTCCATATTTAATTGATATATTTTATATTTACATAATTTGAAAACATTTCCTTTGAATACCGAAACCTGTATTCTTGAAATACAGTAAAGAAACTGTTTAAATAATTCGATCAGCAAACCCATATTATGAAATAATTTTGGCGTCAGCCACCCGTTTATCAAGATCAAAATCAGAATAGAGTCATCAAACCAAAAATCTAGAATTTATTCACTTATAAATCCAAAAGTGTTTATTATAGCTGCTTAATAATTTTTTTACAAATTTCTTTAAGTCTTGCTCGATTTGATTACTCGAATTTAATTAATTCAATTGATTCGATTTTTCCATGTTATTACACTGTTATCGGTTACTAGCACTCATTTCGAATCTATCATCGCATGAGTTTTTATAAAAATGTTCAATAAATCCCAAGTCCAACCGCTGAAAGTCTGCGAATTACACTAAGATTATATTTATAAATATATGTTTATGTAAATATATATTCTATTTTCAGTGTGAGTATCTAAGGCGTTCAAATGCAGCGTGACGAAATGCGGGGCTTGCCCTAGAAGCAGAAAAATGTATGTAACTAGTACACAGTGCACGATAACACTATGGACATGATATCGTCAATATGGAACTTCTCAAGGGGTCTAATTTAATCGTACCTGATAATTCACTAAGAAAATTTGAATTTTACTATTGCGTTAACTCAGTGGTTAGCGCACCTGTTCCATCTGAACCAAAAAACATATACTTCTATTTTTTTATTTCTAAATTTAATTAATCTTTTTGTTTTTATCTTCCGATTTGATGTGATTTTGAACTCATAGAATTAACATAAATAATAAAATATATATATATTAAATGTGCTCTAGTTTATTGCAGACTGACGATTATAACTAATTATATGAAATCGATTTGGTTGTTGAATCGTTTCCTTCAATGGCATACATCAAAGATCTAGAAAACATTTAACAGTAATTTTCATTGAAGTTTAATCGAAATACATCTAAATAATAATATATATATACATACTTACGTATGTATGGTCAATAGCAGACGGCAGAGTGGAACCACATGCAATGCAACCAGACAGATCAGATCGAAGGAAGTAGAACTAAGTTTCCTCTCCTTTTAAACAGTACCTCCTTGAACATAATAACCGGACGCTGCCTGACGGAAACTCTTTGTTGGTGCAGCACGACATCTCCGCTGCCCGAAATAGTTTCCTCGCTAAGTTTTACTTCGACTCTCAGTTTATTTTTGTTTAATTCTTTATATTTAATTAGTTTTATTCACCAGTTTATTTATTACTTATTTTAATAAAAATAAGAAAGATAAATATCTTGATTTTTTAATGTTGTTACAATGAATGTGAGTATAAAAACTGCTATACTGTGTTTAAACATGATGGTTTTTTAAGTAACATCCGCTTGTGTAACAAAAAAGTAAATAAATCCTGTTATATAAATCCTGGTGCTATTTAAGTGATGTCAAAAGGCCAGGGCTTGTAAGTAAGTTCAAGATTTCAATAAAAGTTCTTTTGCATTTGGATATGTCTATTTCTGGACCCATGACAACTACATTTGGAAGTATTCTGATACGCGTATTTGGTTGGGTTATGCTTAATAATGGCTTCAATATTCAATATTGAGTC